AACATCAGATGTGGGATGTGTACCAGATTTGCTTGTTTTCTTCAAATTTATGCATTCTTTTTGGCTTACATCTTCAGTGAATTCTACCATTTCTTCCAAGGAAAGAAATGATTAATATTCCCAGTTCATTTGGAACATGCGACCTCCTGTCCCAAACCTGCCCACTTGCATTGATCTAAACAGCATATTTGAACCCTCAAACTATTTTTCACCAAAAAAAAATATGGGTTTGTCAAGAGCTTTTCAATCAGCAACAAAAAACAGGATCCCTTATGATTACCCATCCTTCTAAACAACATTGTCTCAGGAGAGACTCATTTTCAGCATGCCAAAAGCACATTGCTTGCAGGTGTTGGATTTTATTTTTTATTTTTTAAGACAGTTTAATTGAAAAAGTTGTAAAATTGATTTTCTAAAGTATAACCATAGAGAAAAACTGTCAGCTTATGGATTTTCATATTGTTTTCCTGAAACTCCTGGACATTTTTCAGATTTCTTCTTGTAATTCAATGTGGATCTGTTTTGAGAAGTGACCAGGAAAACAGCAGGAAGAAGCTGAGTTATTAGCAGTGTTAATATTTTTATAAACTAAGAAAAAATATTTGGAGGAAATACTTGGGAAAACAGAAAAACAACAAGTCTTGTTTGGATTCCAGAACAATGCCAGAACAATCTTTCTTTCCCATCGTCTATTCTACTGCTAAATGATCTCCAGACTGAACAAAGCAGAAGAAAATTGGAGAGAGATGATGCAGACTTTGGTCCAGATGGTCCCAGTTATCACACCAGTGGCCTCAAGATGGTGAAATTAGAATCACAGAATCATAAAGTCATTAAAGTTAGAGAAGATCATTGCGATCATCTAGTCCAACCATCACATTAATGGTAAAGGTGCCATGTGGCTGGGCAGACCAGAGTAGAGCCAGCAGGGCAATGGAAGAAGGAATTGATGTGGGGATGGTCTCTACAAATCATCACAAAGAAATTTACAGGGAGGGAATGATGAGAGTTTTCTTACTCTTTTATAGGATGACAAAGAGGTGGAGAAGATAGGACAAGGAGGAATGGTTTTAAACTGAGATGGGGGAGGTTTAGGTTAGATATTAGGAGGAAGTTTTTCACTCAGAGGGTGGTGAGGCACTGGAACAGGTTGCCCAAGGAGGCTGTGGATGCCCCATCCCTGCAGGCATTCAAGGCCAGGCTGGATGTGGCTCTGGGCAGCCTGGGCTGCTGGTTGGTGACCTGCACACAGCAGGGGGTTGGAACTGGATGAGCACTGTGGTCCTTTGCAACCCAGGCCATTCTATGATTCTATGAGTCTATGAGTCTATGATTCTATGATTCTATGCTTCTGTGTCACGATAGTCTATGATAATCACAACAGATTCATTTGCACTGCTTGGGAGACTCAAATGCTTTCTGAAGATTCAGTCCCATCAGACCTCTATATGGCTCAGTTCTATGGGTGAATACACAAAAGCACTGAATGATTTCAGATGCAGTGAGATGTGGCAAAGATGGTATTTTTTTTATATTAGCAGGACAGCTGATGTCTCCCCAGATTGCCCAACTGATATTGCAGCAGTCCAGAAGGGTCCTAACAGCACAGTGCCTTCAACCTTCTGCTTTTCTGGGAAGATAAGGAAGAATTAAAGTACCCCAAAATAAATTACTCTGTATTCCGTTTTCCTTTGAATGAGTGCACTGTGTGGAAATATGTATGGGTATGTTTACAGTATGGGGAAGAAGCATCACCAGGTACTTAGAATCATAGAATTGTTTGAGTTGGAAGAGACCCTTAAAGTCCATCTGGTCCAACTGCCCTGCAGTGAACAGGAACACCCACAGCTCTACTAGGTGCTCAGAGCCCCATCCAGCCTGACCTTGGTATCTCCATGAACGGGGCTTCCACCATCTCTGGGCAACCTCTACCAGTGCCTGTAAAAGTACTTCTCCAGATGAATTCTTTCCGAACAAAATCTTGCAGTGCAATTTTGAATTAATCCGCTTACAAATGAAAGCTGAACTTTGCAAGTTGTTCTAAACCCATTAGAGAAGTGGAAGGACTTTGAGTATTTCAGAGCGTGGCATTCAGATGATTCTTTTTCTCTCCTCAACAGTTTATCCATAGTTTTCATTTTTAAACTGACCCAAGTTTATTTTGTAAAAAGAATTTATTTTATTTTAGGTAACAGCACTTTGAGGGCTAAATGAAATCCTTATTTATTTTCTTCTCTGCAGTAAGAACTCAGAAGAAATAACCCTTTGTCCTAATCCAAATTTTGTGGGGCTTTTTTTCCCCTCTTTTTCTTCTGATGTTTATACAGAACTAAAAAAAAAAATAAACTTTTTCATGGTGTAAGTTATCCTGCAAAATAATTAGCCAAAGGACAGGGCTTACATAGCTTTCATGAATAGGAAAGCCTGGTACTGTTCTTCCTCCTTCTCAGAGCAGAGAACACGCACTGAACTTCATCCTATTTATCACATCGATGCCAAGGAATGTCAGCTGCTCTGCCCCCGCTCTCAGTTAATGCTTCAAATGATAGGCAGTGATTAGGCTGGTCCTTTTCATCAACGCTAAATTAAAGATGAGGAATCAGGCTGTTAAATGATGAGCTTTTCTGTTGTTTTTCATGTCCCGAAATATCAGCAAACTGAATTGATCACTGTCAGCTCCGACCCTGGAGGGCCCTGCACCAGCCAAAGGTTTTTAAAGCAATCCTGGATTCTTATTCAATCTTGTGAAAGCACATGCATTATAAAGGATAAATTACAGTTGGGCTGAAAGATTGTGAAGGCATTAGCTTTGATATTGAAGAAACATGCTGAGATCTTGGCTGGGCTTATCATTTCTTTGCTATTGGAGCTCTTTTGCAGATAAGAGCAGGATGCTCTATTTTATTTTGATTTTCATGTAATTTCTCCCTGTCAGACACTTTGTATGCTGCTGATAAACTCCTTTTTTTGAGGGCTGCTAATAGTATGGAGTCCAGGGACTGCTCTGAAAGTGGAGATGGATCAGATTCACCACTGCTAGCTTTCCATCTCAAATATGCTGCTGTATCTGGATCTTAACCAACGGCTGCAGTGAATGCAGGCCAATGCAAAGGGGTAGCAAGCACTAGGTTGGATTTGGTTGTGTAATCATAGAATCACCAAGGTTGGAAAAGACCTCTAAGATCATCCAGTCCAACCATTCACCTATCACCAATATCTCCCCACTAAACCATGTTCCTCAGTACAACATCTGAACGTTTCTTGAACACCTTCAGGAATGGGGACTCCAACCCCCTCTCCCCCATGGGTAGCCTGTGCCAGAGCCCATTGTGATGGGACAAGGGGAAATGGTTTCAAACTGAAGGAGGGGAGATTTAGTCTGGATACAAGGAAAAAGTTTTTTTTATGATAAGGGTAGTGAGGCACTGGCACAGGTTTCCCAGAGGTTGTGAACACCAAATGTCCCTGGAGACACCCAAGGTCAGGCTGGATGGGGCTCTGAGCACCTGATGGAGCTGTGGGTGTTCACAGTTTATTGCAGGGGGGTTGGACCACATGGCCCTGAAATGTCCCTTCCAACTCAAACCATTCTGTGATTCCATGAATTTGCAAGTTCATGCGAACTGCAAGATGAGAATCAAAGTATTTTAAATACATACTTACGTACCTGTCAGTTTTTGGAAAAGGAAACTTAAAAGATGGGAAAGGACATTTTTCTTGATTTGTGTCTCTGTTTTTCCTTACACTAAGCACTAATCACAGATTTCTGCAAACAAGCCATACACAGGGAAGAGGGAGTCCTGTGCAGAGGTGACCTTCCCAGGAGGAGGCAGGGTTTCTCAGTGGTATTTTAGCTTTCTTCAGTGTACAAAAGGGAGGAACAAGAATGATTTAAAGAAAAATCAGTCAGGAACCATCACATCATTCCATTCCAAAAAAGTTAAGAAGTTGTACAACAGACAGAGATAAACAGCTCCCACAATATTCTTCTCCTGCCCGCTCTCTTTCTGCTCAGCTCAGTGAAAATTGGTGACTGAGCAAAATGCAGAAATCCAAAATAGTGAGTAAGCAAGGAGAGAAGCTGGGGAAACTCGATCATTGTAAGCCGTGCTTGGCTGCAAGCAGCAGCTGGTCAATCAGCATGTGTGCACTGCCAGGCAATTAGCATGGGCAGGGCTCCAAATCAATCAGTGCATGGCCTGCATCTTGGCCCGTGGTTACATCACTGGGAAGGAAGGGGAGAAGGAAGCTAGAACAAGTGAAGTCATAGACAAAAAGTGTCAGATGAGGGAGGAAACAGATTCCATCACTTTACTGCTTATGTAACAAGATAATAAAATATTCTGTATCTACTTTTAAAAAATACTGCCATGGGACCTCCCTACAGATTGTTGCTGGTCTTAGCCTTACTTAAAAATGCACTCAGAATTAGGTAAGTGAGGACATCTCAGAAAGCAGCAAAACATTGTGGTGTACCGTAGCATTGGCTGATGTAAATAATAAGTAAAAATGATAGCTGAATTTGGCCTGATGGTGTCTAGGCATGAAATCACAGTCTAATCTGGGTGTTAAGTGCCTTTCAGAGAGGTCTGAGCTGATTGTTATGAGCCTCACAATGTAGCCACAGCACAATTTAGCTCCTTAGTACAGGATTTTTCCTAAAGAAGTTGTGGATGCTACATCCCTTAAAGTTTTCAAGGCTGGGTTGGAGGGGGCCCTGCAGCCTGAGCTGGTGCCTGATTTAGTGGGTGGCATCCTTGCCTGCAGGAGGAAGGCTGGAACTGGGTGATCTTTGAGATCCCTTCCAACCCAAGCCATTCTATGATTCTGCCTATTTGTTGTCCCACTGCTGAACACATCCTAACCCAAAACCTTCTGAAGCTAAATGCTAAAAGGAAAATGTCAGTGATACCCAAGATCAGCCCTGGATAACAGTGTTAACGACGTGGGTAATCCTTTCAAAATGGTGACTGCTGTTCATGTTTGTGTCTCTTACACAGATGGCTTTTGTCTTCCTGAGTGGGATGGTATTGTCTGCTGGCCAGAAGGTGTGCCGGGCAAAGTGGTGGCTATGCCGTGTCCTGAATACATCTATGACTTCAATCACAAAGGTAAGTGCTGTCCCCATGGTCAGCAAAACCACAGCAATGAGAGACTTGGGGGGCATGGAATTAGAAATCCCCTTTAGAATTTGCGTGGTGACTCTTATCCAAGCAAGGGTGAATAGAAATAGAATAGAAATAGAATAGAAATAGAAGATACAGAGAGAGAGAGAGAGAGAGGAAAAAAAAAAAAAAGCTCATTTTTAACATACATTTCCCACCTGCACAATGGGTTGTAAGTACAACTAGGTAGGTTTGCAGCGTTACAAACCCACATTTGTTTGCTGAAACAAACTTCAGGTAGCGATAGAAATCTACAAGATATCCTCCTGATTTATATTCTTCACAAGTTTGTTCTTTCTAACCCCTACTCTCTGCCCAGACCCCTACAGTGACTATCTGAGAACAGTGTTGGTAACCAGAACATGTGAATTCCTCCCTATCACACTTTCCCTCAGGCACTGCATTTCTTGGCTCGCTTCTGGTGCCACAAAGTCTGTGCATGTTTTTAGAAGCAGCTGAAGCACACTCACCCCTCAGTGTATTTTCAAAGCGAACGCATTCTCTTTTCTCAGGCAAAGCTCTGCACCCAATGCCTGCAAAATTAAAGAATTAAGATAAATCCCTAGCAGAGCCTTGCTGCTGTTTTCAGAAAATAAGTAATTGTGTTTCAGTGCACTCTGGTTGCACGTAGTATGTCCTGCCTTCTCTATAAGAAACTGTGAGCCAAACCAGCCCAACTCTTGTGAGATGACCTTTTCCAAAGACATACATTTCAAGTTAGGGTCTGGAAGGAACAAGTGACCCATTTCTATTTCCCTTTTTCTTCCATAAGCCGACAGCACGGATTCTCCACCTCTTAAATATCCACTGGTGAAGCTGCCTAGGGCAGTGAGAGTCTCAGAAGATGTGTCTACAAAGTCTCCCTCTGCAGTCACTGAGATCTCTCAACTGGTCTCATCCTCATTAACTATAATGGGAATTTTTACACACAACCCACGCAATTGTATCCCCACACAAACATCTGAACAAGAATGTTTTCATCTGTGAGCTGTCACAAGACAAAACCATGCCTTCTCTCCCCTTTCCATCATCATGAGCAGGGTAGCTGTGGAAAACTACCTTGAGATACACCAAATCTGTAAAGGAGCAGCAAAAGAATGAAGATTGCTGTGTTGTTGTTTTTTCTTCATAGAGAGAGCTGTAACTATGGGAATGATACTGTGCTTTTGAAATTTACACTTTCTTTCCTTAGATTTTAGAGCCACTATCTTGATCTAAACTAAGTGCAACTTATTGTTAGCTCTCTGGGGTTTATCAGAAAACTACTAAGATTTCTAAGGGGATAGAAATTGTGCTCTTGTGGCTGAGCTTCAAAGCAGGCAAGAGACACTGCGTTCTTTGGGAATCCACCCTTGAACTGAAGAGGAGGTTTCTCCTCTTATCTCAGGTCTAGCTCCATTTATACTGCCTCTTGTTTCTCTCCTACAGGCCATGCTTATCGCCGGTGTGACCTGAATGGAAGCTGGGAGCTGGTTCCAGGCAACAACCGCACCTGGGCAAACTACAGTGAATGTGCCAAGTTCCTCACCAACGAGACAAGGGAGAGGGTAGGCAATTACATTTTTGCATGGGGCATGAAATGTTGGCCTCATCCAGGGCTAGCTGGAGGAGTGCTGCCTCATTTGAAACCCCTGATGAGCTTTAACTTACTGCCTTCTGTTGGAAACCACACCCAAGCTTGCCAAAGGCGTGTGTTTATTTGGATAGGAAGTATTTGAATGGGAAATGGTTCTCAAGGCCAGGAAGGGTTCACTCAGTTGACACGACTCCATTTGTAAAGAGATTTTGGGGAAATATGGAGCCGGTTCACAGACACTAAGAGGGGATTGGAAGTCACGCCTCGTGTCATTGAGGCTCCATCTACCCCACCAAACAGTGATTTTGTTACTAGATTATTATTAATTATTCCTTTGCATTTGTGCTTGTGTATACTAGGGGATGCACACACAGAGGGGAAAAGCCGTGTTAATCAAATTGTTAGTGACCCTGTTTCTGTAGGTGTTTAACACAGGACGTCCTTGTTAAAAAGCATAAGCTACAGGATCTGGTCTGCGTGGTCTGTTCATTGGAGACGAGCAGGGAAAAAGTCTGTTGCTATAGCAAATTAACATGTAAGAGCAGATCTTTAACTAATTCTGGTTTTAGTCACAATTCTGAAGGAGAGACACAAGTCCAGAGGTCAGAAAAGAGACTCTAGGTGCATAGAGAAGGTTTATATGCTCCTAGATGAATATTTGTTTATATCAGATCTATGGGCGTTACTCTGACTTAGTTTACATTTAGACAACTGGAAAAGCAGCAACTGGCTACAGTGAGGCACAAATATTATATCTGTGTCTGCCCCAGTTGTGTAGTGCTTCTGCAGGGCTTCTGAATTTCTCCAAGTGCATCACAGAAGCTTTTTTGTTCTTTTCCTTTTTTACTTTTGCTGTCAATGGGGCCACCAGAGAGAGTGTGACATTCTTTTTCAGGAAGAGACATTTCCACCTTTGTGTGATTGATCTCTTATTTCTTTAACTTGCAAAGTATTTGGCAAAAATCTCTTGTTTCTCAGTGGTGTTTAGAAGATATTTTCCTTGGATATGGGGTATGGTAGTGGGAACTGATCCTTTGCAGCAACGGTTATTCTCAGACAGTTGGAGACAAATATCAAACTGTAAGCTTCACAGTGAAGAGCAAGCTTGAAGATGACACACAGTCCCTTTGGGAGAATATTTTTAGTTTTAAATCCAATGACAGATAGTTTTTGTATTTCTTCTCCAATGGTGAAACAATATTTGAGTGACAGAATGGTTGAGGTTGGAAGGGACTTCCGGAGGTCATCTGCTCCAAGCGTCCTGCTCAATCAGAGGCAGTTGCCCCAGACCACGTCCAGACAGCCTTTGGATATCTCCAAGGATGGAGAATAAAGTTACTTAGTAAGGAAAGACGTTATTTTATTGTCTTCATATGTTGAATCATACAGTAAAACTGTAGACATCTTTGTGTACACCAGGTTCTGTTCCACTACTGCATGATGTCTCAGTGATGTTTTCTTTTAGAAGAGCTTTGGTGGAACATATCTCCTCTATATGGTAGAAATAGCTTATTTTAGCCCCAGAGGTCTTTGCATGGTTTCTGGAGTAGGTGATGGAGTCATTGAGCATCTCACACTGAGAGCTTTGCTAAATTGCTTCTCTTCTTAACCTTTCATCTCCCCTTTCCCACCTCTCTCAGCTGAGCACCTTGCTCAGATCCCTCCATCTGAGCAAGTCTCCTAGATTTCCCCTTGTTTTTAACCTCCCATGTTGGAGGCTAGGACTTGGCCTTAGTTAATCTGCAGGGGAAGGGTATAAAGTAGAGAGAGTTGTACATTTGTTATCATCGCAAGGAAGAAACAGAGACCTCCCACCCCCAGGCTGGCAGAAGAAAATGCTGAAAGCAAAGTCTGTTGTCCTTGTGTATATTGGGGTGTCTTGTATTTGTCCTTGTGTCTCCCTCAGTGCAGAGGTGGTCATTTCACAAACGGAGCACTGGGGCAGTGTCTCCTAACAGACATTAGATGAGGTGCCAAGATGCAGAAGACTGCATTTGTGTTCTTTGCTCTGCCCCTACTTGGAAAATCACTGCTCCTCATGACCTCTGCTTCTGTGTGCTGTTTTAATTAAACCCTCCCAAGGAGCTTATTATCCTCATTATTCTGTACACAAGGCTCAGTCACCTTTTGCCATTACTCTTCTGTTCTAGATGCACAGAATTGACTTTAATGATTTTTAATGGTGAGACAAACTACTCCGTCTTTATTGTTCAGATTAAATGGATAATCTGGTATTGCCTAAGCAATGCCTGTCCAGGCCAAAGAACATTAGAAATAAAGGAGGTTTCCCCTAGCTTTGGAATTGCATCATGATTACCACATGCTTTTCAACAACATATTTTATTCATTGTCATTAGTATTATTATTACCCTTGTACTTGCATTTTCATAATGCTGCATGCTGTCATGTAATTGTCAAGTTTTGTCCTAGAGATAGTTGCACCTTAGGCGACAAGTGTGACCATTGGACCTCCCAGTACAAAAAGCACTGTGGAAATAGAAGAAAAAAAAAGGAATAACCTTTTTTTCCTTGTCGTATAGTGACTATCAGAAGCAAGGAAGGCACGATTCTGAAGCACTGATGTTAATAAACCTTCCTTTGATTGTTGCTTGAAGTAAATATTCCAAGAGATGTGAGAATCAGAGGATTTGGCAAGATAGACTCATCATCCTTAGAGAGACATTGTTTGCTATTATTATTTCCCCCCTCCCTCACCCCCCCCAAGGAGCACAGCATCTTTGCGTCACCACTAACAGCTGCATTTAACCAGCCTTCCAAATGGGGATCATGGGCTCTGAGCAGGACAGCATCTGAGCAGATGTCAACAAGAGAAAATTTTAAGAAGCTGTGCATCAAAAAGCATTAGGAAAGAAATGCATGTCTGGGACAATCTGTACGTATCTGCTTGGCTATCTCTAGAAATAGGCCTATATCCATAGATAACTGTGTATACAGACACACCTAAACAAACACCCATGTGCATGTACACATACACATATATATGTCCATGTATGTTTGTTTAGGTGTGTAGCTTCCTCATTTTAGCCTCTGTGGGAATAATTATAATATTGACCAAAGTAGCATGCAGACACCCCCTAAGAAGGTCTGTGTCTTGTACTACTTTTTTTCCTGAATCATGTAATGGATTATTTCACACAGAGCAGCAAGGAAACCACTTTCTGAAATTAGCAAATTATGCTAAAGCCATTAGAGCTGGGAGAATTAACAGCTCATAACTGCTTGGTGAGCAATTGCTCTCAGGCTGTTTTCTAAGGGAAAATTAGCACTGCTGAAGGACGCTGGAGTGACAGCTCAGAAGATTGATGTCCTCTCGTCAGCCAGTGCAGCAGGTAGGCTGCAGCTAGCTCTTGGAGTGTGTTCCTCCCAATACCTTGCAGATAGCTTAAATCTTGCTACGAAGAACCATCTCTCAGACACGGTCTGGCAAATGTTTGCGGAGCGTAGAAAGGAGTTTCATGGGAAAGTGTCCTCGTAGCATGCCATGGGAAGATAAGATGGTTTCCTTTGGGCTGTTTTCCAAACTCTCATATTCTTCTTTTAAGATAACCCTTCACTGGTGCAGCGGAGACCATGAGAAATTTTGTTATTTCCCGAGAAAGAGCTCTCTTCCCAAGAGATGTGCATGGACATCCCCCATCCCAATTGCACTCTGGCTTTTCAGAAAGCTTCCTTGCCTCTGAAGAGACAAGCTGAGAGCTGTCTCGCCAGCCCAGCACCCTGACTGGGCAGCTCTGAACCGTTTATTTTCTTTGCAGTGTTTAGAAAGAGACGGGAAGACAAGGGAAGGAAGAGGAATAGATTGGGCAGTGTTCACGCTTTGAGGAAGGTGGTGTGGTTAAACACCATCTGTGTGTCTGCCTGCTGTGTTTCATGTCGCTGAGCTGCTGAACATCAGTAGAGGGTATTCACTACTACCAATCACTCGATGGATCGTTGGGCACTATATATAAACACAGGCACATATGTATGTATGTAATTATACAGAGATATTTGTTTTGTTATGACACTTTTCCCTGGATTTCAGTTCCTGGGGGGAACAATAGGACATACATATGTTATGTGTAGGTATATTTATCTCTATCAAAACCCCCCGTGCTTTAGCTGGGGGAGGGGGGGGGCGGGTTGGACTCAATGGTCTCTAGAGGTTCCATTCCAACCTCTGCAATTCTGTGATTCTGTGATCCCATGATTCCATAATTTGTTCTGCTTTGTTTGTCCCTACAAGATAGGGACTAAGGCTAAAAGGACCTTTGGCCCAGACTGGTCATTCTCCTTGGAGCTTTCTTAGGTTCCTCTAAGGATTTAATTCAGGGTGGTCTTTTTTCTTGAAGCTAATCTTTGGATCAAAAGTGGCACAGTTGGGAAGACCTGATGGGTTCTGGCACAAGGGTGCAGCTTTTGAGGCAATGTCTCTCTGAAAAGCACAGTAATATTTTGACCATGAACCCTTTCGCTTTCACACAGCTGGCCAATGGCCATGGGTCACCTGTGGCCATTTTTATGTTCACCCTTTAAGACATTATCAGAAGTAATGACACATTTTGCTCATTAAGCAAAAATTCCCTTCGTTTCCACCTCCCCAAAAATAACACTGAAGCCAAACACATCTTATTAAAAGAAAAAATCAGACCGACTCATCCTGTTTTCAAGGATGGGCTTAAGGGTAAATGTGACATCTACAGAAATCATGAGGAAGAGAAATATGTGCCAGCTACTTGGGAGGTTAGCTAAGCTTGGAAACCGCCAACCCAGCAAAATGGACCATCCTAAGATCTAACCTCAGCTCACCAATCCCTTCTTCATCTGCAATTGCTTGTTTATATTATGGTGATTTTACTGCTCCCAGAGAAATCAGTGAGGTCTCAGGAATCCATTGCATACCAAACACAATAGGAAAGGCACAGCATGGCCCAGGGCTGCTTTATCTAAACTCCATTGTTCAAACCAAAA